TTCACAAATTTTCAAACCGGCATGTATCAATTATCATGTTGCCACGTAATTATTAAATCAAATAATCACGTATTAATTTACCTTGGGTAATAACCAGGATATTACACAATTATAATTAGAAAAGACAAAAAAACCATAGAAATGTTGGTGAAGTTGTCCCACATTTGACGAGAGATAAAAAAATAAGGATGAAGAGTTGTTATAAAAAGAGAGAGATGTAAATGAAGTTTGTAACTTTTGTCTTTTTTATGATCAAGTTTGAGGTGCATCCCTTTAACTTTTTAAAATTTAAAAGAACACCTTTAAGTTTTATAACTTATAATAAGAGAAGACATTAAAATTTCATAAATTTCGACGAATGAGCTTGGTTAGAGTTCGAGTTTGAGTTTGGTTCGAGCTTCAAACGAGTTCGAGTTTAAAAAATTGCAATTGAGTTCGAGTCAAGTTTAGTTTTTTAACTACTCGCGAGTTTTCGATTCGAGTTCGCACTTGAGAAATGGCCATCGAGTTCGAGTCGAGTATACCGATACTCGAGCTTGACTCGCATCATTTACACCCCTAATATAAAACAAACTAAAGACATCTTTTTTGTTTAGTGTGTTGGTGAGAATCACTTTTAATGTCATTCCTTAGCTAGCGATGATGCGAAGAGTGTTAAAAATTGAACATATTTTGAAAAACAACTTTGTTTCAACATTCAAAACAGAAATACATTCATACAGATTATAAAATTATCTGCATATCTAAATATAAACTATAACAAGAACATTAAGAACTCGTATCTGACAAAAGTTTAGAGAGAGAAGAAGATAGAGAGAAAAAAGTAGAGAGCTAAATCGAGAGCTCTAGAAAATGGAAGATGAATTATGAGCTGGATTATGGAAAACAAAGGCTTTTATACTTTTGGAAATTGCAGAAATGATCTTTAAAGAATGTTGCTCCAGACTCCGCTACCTTTTAAGAACTCCAAGAAGTGAGGCGCAGTCCCTCTTCTATTTGACAAACTTGACTTTTCATTATTATCATTTTCTACCCCAATTTTTTTAACATTCTGTCAAAATAAAGACAAAAGGTTAAGTTAGTCAAGATTACAATAAAGATATATTTTAACAAAGAGGTCATCGTTCAAAACCGATAATGATACACGATCATCGACGTTATAGTTCGAAAATATATCCTTTTAGACTAAAGTTCAATTTTGATTCATAAGGTTTTCCATTTTTAACAGATGTCATTTCTGAACTTCAAAAACTCGGATTTAACTCTTTCACGTTTGTCAATTCTCAATAGTTATTGCCCCTTCTCTTAACTCCCGTTAACCTTTTCAATTAAGTCCAATAAAATTAGGGGTATTTTAGTCAATTTATGTATTCCTTTTCTTAGTTTTCTATTAAAATAAAAATGCATATATATATATATATATATATGATCATGTTCAGAGAAAAAACGTAAAAAAAAGAGCACCTTAATAAACATTGATTAACTTTAATCCAACAATTACTAAAAATAACAATTTATTAGATGCAAAAAGGGCAAAATGATACATTTTATTAATGGATAATCATTTCCATAAATAAAGAAAAGTTACCAAAAGATACTACAAGTTATGGAAACTTCATTTATCATCTAACAAGATCTACAAAAAATATGTCAATTGACTACTTCATTCGATTTATGTGTTGCAAGAACATGTAAATGAATCACAATATTCATCGTCTTTCGATTTCTGAGCTGGATGCACATGTGAATGAATCACCCTATTCGTGGAAAGCCAACAGATGTCCCTACAACTTTGAAGTTTTCATCTTTTGCAAATTCGGGTTGTATCTAAGCCAAACTTGATGTTGAAAATGAAAAAGTGTTGCTGGACAGCAAATGAAAAAGAAGCAATTTTACTTCTTTTTGCGATTTAAGAAAAGAAAGAGAAATATAAAATAGATAAGCTTTGTGTCTTTGGGATGTTAATAGAGAAATAAGGCTTGAGAAGGGAGCCCATTAGTTGGGTAAAAAAAGAAGGAAAAGAGGGCATCACGCAGAAAACAGGAGCTGTTGAGGGTGTTTCACGGCTAGGCAAAGGAGGACTAATGGGGCACTAAAGTAGCAACAAAAACATCGACTTTGGGGGCTCAATTGTTACAGCAGCAAAAATCAACTTTGGGGACTCGATTGGGGTTGTTTTACAACAGTAAAGATCAACCTCACAATCACTTAAGAGCCAAAATAGCAACTTTGCTTTTTGTCCTTTGATGAAAAATACTAGTAAGATTGTTGTTGATTAATGTATGTTTGGAGTTAGTGGAAATGCTCATATGATTAAGAAAAAAAGACAGAGAACGGTAATAGTTTCTGGGGTACAAACAAAACCAATCATAGTGGCATAATAAAAGTGTTCTAAAAAGTCCCACTTAGGATTGTAAAACACCAAACATCACAATAATCCTAATGTTGATTATTTCAAATGAAAGGGGCAAGTCCTGATGTAAAAGACCAAACACCACAACAGTCCCAATGTAGAACAGTCCCTCTTGGGTGTCTTAAAGCTTGATAAAGGAAACAAGTCATGTATCGTTACGAAAGAATCTAAATCTTATAAAAAAATGTAAGATCTCAATTAAATGAAGATGTCGAAAGTTCTCATAGTGATTAGTAAGCTTCACCATAGAAAACATAAAGATTTTCTCTTTGTGGCATTTCATCAAGCACTTTATAAACAACATAAAAATTTATGAAACAACATAAAAATTTATGAAACAACTCAACAAAGATTTGGAAAAGGCATATCTTGACAAAAAAAACATAGAATGGAAAGATCTGAGGAACAACTCAACAAAAATTTGAGAAACAATTCAAGAAAATATAGATTGAAACAAATATTACCTTCTAATTGCATATTTGAGAGTGATATTGAGGAATGATCGATCTAATGTGAAGAATCGATTTGTCTTGTTCTTGAGGAAGGATCGACATGAAGGATTCCAACAGGTTTATGGAGCGATGTCTGGGGTTTTGTTTGAACATGGTTTTTTTTGTTTTAGAAAGAGATTGAGTAATTTTGTCATTTGTATAAAAGAGTAAGGGTATATTTGGAAGGAAAAAACAAAAAGCTCTGAAAGTCTCCATAACGTTGTTTTTATTAACTTATGTGCATCCAAACGTGTATCTAGCTTATTTTTGTCAAAC